ATAAATATCTGCAAATAATTTTTTATTAGTCTAGCGTAAACTCATAGATCCGCCTCGGTTAATATTAAAAAAATTTAAATTTTTATCAAAAAGGCTTAAACATTTGTTTTATGATTTTATCTGAAGAGTACGAGTCGTCCACAAAAAGGATTCACTTGCATTCGCTTGGATCAAATAAAATATAATATAGCAAAATCTGAATTTGAGCAAATGATTGTTTTAGATATTTGTAAACCATCCTCATCTTTTGCTTTTGCAAGTCTTTTGCTAGTCAAAAAAAAGGATTCAAAGGACTGGCGTCTTTGTAGCGACTACCGTCAACTCAACATTGTACTTTTGCCGCACATTCAAGATTTCAATTTTCACATTCACAATAGTACCATCTTTTCGAAAATTGATCTCCATCAAATTTCCTGTTTCTCCAGAAGATGTTTATAAAACTGCAGTTACTACACCTTTTGGTCTTTTTGAATTTACACGTATGCCCTTTGGTTTACGTAACGCAGCTCAAACCGTTCTACGTTTTATCAATGAAGTCACAAGTGATCATGTTATGTTCGTCTACTTGGGCCAAAATAAGGTTTGCACATTGCCCCTGAGGCGAATTATAGGGGTTGAAAGTATGGAGAAAAAGTACGTTTTTGCATATAATCCGAAAACGAAAAATGCTATAGTAGAAACCACGAGAGCTGGCAGTGACTTGACGTTTAAAAATCGTATGAATCAAGATATGGACGTACGACTTTAATTATTTCACCACATACATTTGAATGTAGGTTATGTTAGTAATAGAGGTTATATGTCAAACATTGTCAAAGATAGGAGAGGTTAACCAGCGAAAAAGCGTTTATATTAATTTATAATAAAGTTTATGTAATTATTAATTTATTTAATAATAATTAATATTTAATAAATTAATTTAATATTTAATTCATATTTAATATTTAATAATTTTTATTTAATATTTATAATTAGTCCATATCATCCTCTTCATCATCACTGCTCTCCTGATTTAAATTAATAATTAATGGCGCCTGCACTCTTTCCAGATGATTTCTAATACTCAGAAAGACTCCATTTCTTTCTCAACGTGATTAATGTAATGACGCCATTCCTCTGCGTTTACGCGTGACAAAGCCTCTGACCACATTGCCAAAACCTTATCATCACCATATCCATCTCTATCACTATGCTGGTTGTAAAAAAGTTTACATTTTGCCCAAACTAATTCAGTAGGATTGAATTGGCAATGATAAGGTGGCAATCGAAGCACTTTATGGCCCCACTCATTCGCCAATTCATCAATTTCATACGTTTGGGTAACTTGGGCATCTTTAGCTAACGCATATAGTTCCATTTTAAGCATATTAGAATTATATGCAATGTTGTTAGCTTTTAAAAAACTTTGAAGTTCCTCCTTGCGCCATGTAGTAGCGGGTATTCTTTGGATTAATTTTGGATGATAAGATACATTATCAAGGATAATTATACTAGGATTTTCTAAGTTTGGCAGCAATTGTTCTGTAAATTATTTTTTAAATAAATTAGCGTTCATGTTATCATGATAATCAACTTTTTTTTTTTTTAAGTAGGTACAAACAATAAATTTGCTCCTTCAATAAATCTTTCGCTGTTACCAGCATGCAGAACAATATATCTTTTTCCTTCACTAATATTTTTTCTTCTAATAGATTCTTTATTGTCATCATGCCAACTTCTTCTTGCTGAACCTTCAGCAAGAAGTCTTATTCCTCAGTCTTATTTTCCATATATAGTCTCAAAAATTTTGCACGAGAAGACATAATATGCGGTTGCTCCATCAAACCTCTTCTATTATTGTCAATGGTATATGTAAATCCTATAGACTTCAAGCACCGTCTTAGGCTAGTAGCTGAAAAACTGAAGACATTGTTTTCACGAAGCTCCTCTTTGAGACATTTTACAGTAACAGGAAGTAGTTTATTGTGGTTTGTATAAATTTTACGACGTATGGGGTCTTTCACAAAGTTATCAATATCAGTCGACCTTACTTTTTGCCTATTACGTGTTTTTTGGGGTGAGGATACAGAGGATCCTTCTAATGATGCGGTTTCAACTTGATTTTTGATTCGATAAGTGGTTCTTCCGGAAATTCCGCAAGCAGTAGCACTTTTCTCTAAGTTTCTAGTTTCTCCTTCATTCGCGTATGTATGCCGAAAACAATTTAAAACATCATCATAGATTTTTTATTTAATGATTTTCCTTTCAAAGAAAACATATTTTCGGCTTTTAAAAATGTCAACAAATTCATGACAACGCTGAGAAGACGTTTCAATTTCAGGTTATAATTGTAGAGTGACATCCCTTAAAAGAACAGACGTACTTTTTCGACGTGGCTATTTGAACTGTACAGCAGACATATTAAACTAATGCTATCTCTTTCTAACACATAATACTCTCTAGCGGTTTGTGAATTTTAATTTACTACGTATGGCATTTGTAAGAACGGAAAACGATGATTTACTGCCAGCTCTCGTGGCGTCTACTATATCAAAATTTCGTTAATTGTAGCTGATATTAAAAAATGTTAGTTAAGTGTTTTTTCTCATTCGTCGTAGATCAACCCTAGCGATGTTAAAGAGGGTTAACATGTAACTACTGTTCGTGAGAGTGATGTGATAAAACTGTCAGGCATTTTGAAAATAGTTTAAACAAAACCGTAAATTAGTCGCACAATAAAATGTTTAGTGTAAAATAAGGCATAATACATCATTTAGGGATGGTTGGGGTTAGCCACCCCCTTAAAAATTAATTCTATTAATTCTATCTATTAATGTGTTTGTTTTATATTTGAAGCAAACATTTTTGAAAATGGTTATAAAGGTTACAAATTAGGGGTAGTTTTTTGTTTATATCTCGAAAATGAAAACTCGTAAATCCATCGTAATTTGTTAAATGAGTATTGTTTTTTTTTTAATCTATATCGATGTGCCAAAAGGTGAACTACCCTCATTGTCTTTAAATAATAAATATAAAACTACTAGATAAATAAGATATTTTACTAATTTATGAGTTAAAAAGCAACTGCAAAAAAAATGGTTTTTTACTTCTTTGGTATAATCACCAAAGAAGTTTGTTTTATATTACTAATTGACGTTTTTTATGTTCAATGTTAAATTTATTTTTATTCTACATAGTGTTGGCAAAAATGAAAGTCGTGGATAAAATGTTTTAAACATAAGGATTTTTTACACCATGCACATGTTATGACCGCTATATCCCCACAGATATCTCACGTTGGCTTCTCAGTCGAAAAGCAAACTTCCACGGGATTTTCAAAATGGTTTGGTCTCTCCTCTATGTATATAGCCACTTGCAAACCATGCATATTAAAAAACATTTATAAACCAAGGAGAAGACAACTGGTTATGCGTTCCATGGGATTGCAATTTTGATATATTATCCCTCTGATGTAAATTGACATCATACTGGTAAAGAATAATCTGATCAGAGAATCTTCTAATAAAATTTTTCGATATTCTGAAACCAAATACATCTAGGGGTACTTGTATTTGACCTGTTGTCCCTGAAAATTAGTATCTGATGGAGTATTTCACTAATAACTTCAGGACAATGACCACTCCATGAATCTAATAATAATAATGATTTAGAACCAGTATTTGGAAAATATACATTTTGTAGCCAATTTTTCATGTGTTCTGAAGTTAACTTTCCAGAATTTGATGTCAAAACGTATATATTGTGTGCCTTAAACATTGTAGTTGCTACCCTGTAGTCCAAAGCTGCCAGAGCTTTCTTTTAAAACAATAAAAAGTGGAGAAAGAAATTTTCCATCAGCAGATATTACGGGTTGAATTGAAAAAACGTCAATTAGTAATATAACATAAACTTCTTTGATATAATCAACCATTTCAAATAAAATATCTTATTTATCTAGTAGTTTTATATTTATTATTTAAAGAAAATGAGGGTAGTTCACCTTGTGGAACATCGATATAGATAGATTAAAAAAAAACAATACTCATTTAACAAATTACGATGGCAGTTTTCATTTTTGAGTTATAAACAAAAAACTACCCCTAATTTGTAACCTTAATAATAATTTTCAAAAATTTTTACTTCAAATATAAAACAAACAGTGCCAAATTTCGCCGTAATCGACAAGTAACGCCCAGGATAGAATTAATTTTTAAGATCAGGATTAGTTTTTGAGAAATCACTTTTTAAAGTTAACCAAAAAAAATACCGATTCGTATTGACACTTTTTGTTGAGTTGATTTCAAATATATTTTTCTAGGTTATGTATGAAGTTGGAAAAATAAAATTTGGAACATTTATTCCAAATTTTCTAACAATTTAAATGGTGAAAACCGTTTTTTGATATCTCGATTAGTTTTTGAGCAATTAATTCTTAAAGTGAACTTAAAAAAGTTATGTGTTGATATTGGCACTTCTGTTAGACTTAATTTCAATTATATCATTATATTTTTCTGGGTTATGTATAAAATTGAAAAACTTAAATTTGAAGGATTTATTTAAAATTCTCTATTAATTTTAATAGTGTAAAGCAATTTCTGATATCTCGATTACTCTTTGAGAAATCAATTTTTAACGTTAGCCTAAAGATATACTGATTCGTATTAACACTTTTTGTTGAGTTGATTTCAAATGGTTTTTTCTAGGTTATGTATAAAGTTGAAAAAATGAAATTTGGAGCATTTATTCAAAATTTCCAAACAATTTTAATAGTGAAAACCGTTTTATGATATCTCGATTAGTTTTTGAGCAATTAATTCTTAAAGTTAATCTAAAAAAGTTATCTGTTGATATTGATATTTCTGTTGGACTTGATTTCAATTATATCATTATATCTTTCTAGGTTAAGTATAAGATTGGAAAACTTAAATTTGAAGGATTTTTTTAAAATTCTTTATTAATTGTAATGGTGAAAATTATTTGTTGATATTTCGATTACTTTTTTAAAATATAAAACCTTTTGCCAGTTGTAATACATTTATTATTTTTCACTTATTACATTTTATGTTTATTATTATTTTTTTTAAATTACAATAGTAGGTATTTTTTGTGTAATATTGATAAAACGGGTAGATATCTTTTCGAAATAGTGATGTGCCCCAAGGTACTTTTTGTCTTCTTATTATCGTTGTCCAAACTACCCCCAATGAAGTTTTTTTATTTCTGATGTTTTTTCTCGTTTATTATAATCCTAGACACAGAAAACAGTACAGCAGATGAATGGGATTAATCTTTATTATTTCTACTTAAAATAAACAAAAAAGGAATGTATTTTTTTGTTATTGTGTACTGCGCATCATTTAATTTCCTGCAACAAAAATATAATTTAAAAAAATTAAGATTAAACTTTATACAGAATAGTTCAACAAAAAAATTAAATAAATAATATTTTATTATTTTTTTAATAACTATCCTGTATATTATTTTAATTTACAACAAAAGCATAGATGTTTTTGAAGAAAGAAAGTTTCAGTTGAAATCATTTTTTTTAAATAAATATCCATAGCAGACAACGCCGATTATTTATAATATTTAAATTACCTATAATTTCAATAATCTAATTATCGCGCTTGCCCCAAATACCTTTCAAGTTAGTCCACGCCGGGTCACGTTTTCCCCACGAACCTACAACGAAAAAGGTCAAATTAAACAATTTTAAATTCAAAATGTATCCAAATCAAAACTTTTAATTAATTTAGTTATTCAAAAACAACAAGTTTCAAATTTCTAAAGCTGTCCTCATACATGTTCGATCTAGTTTTGGTTAGTTTCTAGAATACTAATTAACTATTGTATCACATATCTGTACCAAACTAACATTATATTCACAACTCGATTATTCAAAAATGAATTAAATTTTGATTAACCAAATTAAAGATTTCATCTTAAAATTCTTGTATAACATAAATATATCTACCTCTGAAGTTACCCCAGTCGGATCTTTTACCCCATCCACCACCGTTGAGCGATTTCCACGATCTCTTCTCATTTCCCCAATCAAAGATGTCTTGGTCCAATGAATAATCACCGTAATCGGCCATTGAATCAGCAATTGATGATCGCAAAACTAAATTCTGCAAAAAAAAATCAAATCCCTAAATTCCATGACCTTTAAAACGAACTAAATGGGACATTCATTTAATTAAAAACTCCACTTGTAATTTCCATACAAATTAAAAATCCGTCCGAGCATTAATAATTTTAAGTACTTTTTTGGGAGGTCTTTTTTTAATATACCTGTAAGTTTTGTAAAGCGTTTGGTGATAAACGTTTTCCCCAACCTGCTTGTAAATTTTGCCAAGCTCGTTTAGTTGCTGAAGATGATTGACTATTTTGCCAATGTCCGGGGATGTCGATGTCAGAAAGTCCTTGCTAAAAGCGGAAATGAATACAGAAATAAGTTATTAAATTTTAAAGTAAATAACTTTCATAAACTTACTTGATAGTTTCCTAGAAATGGATTAGCGAAATTCTGAGCGATTCCAACCGGAACGCAGTTACAAACTTGTAAGTAACAGATCAAAAACGCAATCCAAAGCATGGTTGTGTTACTGGAAACGGGCGTCTGTTTCATTTCTATAAGACAAATATTAAATAAAATTACTCAAAAGTTTAAGATAAAACAAATTAAGATTTGAATTATTAACAAATATTTTTTCGTCGGCGTCGTCGTAATCAAAGTTGAAACAAGTGCTATGTGTGCTTATGGAAATTGTACAAGCTCTCTGAACCAATTTCCCTTCTATTAAACAGGTGTACAACGAAGATAATTGCTGGTTATCGATGAAAATTGTTTGTATAGGAAAGCTCAATATTTGTACGGGGAATAAATATGATATCGATATTATCACAGATTAAAAATAAAACATTAACAAAATGTTTGTACATCCCAAAAAGAAATAAAATAATAATAATTATAGGAAAATAATGTTCTAAAGATAAACGTGTACAGCAAACATATTGAAAGTTGAATAGTATTATAAACAATCATAAATAATTTATTAATCATCGTGTAACAAATAACACTAAGTTTGGTAGAATAAAATAATTATTTTTTCGCTCCTTGGAATACAAAACTTGTTTGATGAAGATTTCTAAAACCATTACTCTTTGGAATGGGAAAGAAAGTGGTATTCCTTAAAACATCGAAATTGAATTATTTCGTTTATAAATTCGTCCATAACTTCAAAACTACTAATAATACTTTCTAAATTAATTGTTTATAATAAATCAAATCGACATAATCCATAACCAAATTCATCTCAATTATAACCATCTTTTAATTATAAATTGTAAATGCTACAAAATATTAAGGTTAATAAAGTCCATCATGATTCGAATATTAAAAGTGATGGAAAAAAGTGTTTTACATATACAGTGATACAATAAAGTCTACTACTATAAAGTTACTATAAATTCTATATACTATAAAGTCTAATTCAATGAATTTTTTAAACGAAGGATATTAGAAGTCTATATTATTTTAATATAAAGTCGAAACAGTTCGACTTGTGCTACGAAGTGAAGGCTACAGCAGTAGAGTTAGTCCCACGTCTCTCAAGACGGCTACACCCGAATTATTCTAGTTGTAGGTCTTGTGTTAGTTCTAGTTTTAGTTCAATAAAAGTATACAACATAGTAATAACTGATGCTAACTAGCACTACTTACCATTCCAACAATTCGGGTTTAACCGTCTTGAGAGACGTGCGGCTAAACCCGAATGATTCTAGTTCTAGGTCTCGTCTTAGTTCTAGTGTTAGTTCTAGTTTTAGTTCAATAACAATATAAAACATAGTAATACCTTATGCTAGCTAACATTACCTACCGATTTAGTCCCACGTCTCTCAAGACGGCTACACCCGAATTATTCTAGTTGTAGGTCTTGTGTTAGTTCTAGTTTTAGTTCAATAAAAGTATACAACATAGTAATAACTGATGCTAACTAGCACTACTTACCATTCCAACAATTCGGGTTTAACCGTCTTGAGAGACGTGCGGCTAAACCCGAATGATTCTAGTTCTAGGTCTCGTCTTAGTTCTAGTGTTAGTTCTAGTTTTAGTTCAATAACAATATAAAACATAGTAATACCTTATGCTAGCTAACATTACCTACCGATTTAGTCCCACGTCTCTCAAGACGGCTACACCCGAATTATTCTAGTTGTAGGTCTTGTGTTAGTTCTAGTTTTAGTTCAATAAAAGTATACAACATAGTAATAACTGATGCTAACTAGCACTACTTACCATTCCAACAATTCGGGTTTAACCGTCTTGAGAGACGTGCGGCTAAACCCGAATGATTCTAGTTCTAGGTCTCGTCTTAGTTCTAGTGTTAGTTCTAGTTTTAGTTCAATAACAATATATAACATAGTAATACCTTATGCTAGCTAACATTACCTACCACTGCCATTCGGGTTTAGCCGTCTTGAGAGACGTGCCGCTAAGCCCGAATGATTCTAGTTCTAGATCTTGTGTTAGTTCTAGTGATAGTGTAATACTAGAACTAACACTAGACCTAGAACTAAAAACATTCGGGTTTAGCCGTGCGTCTGAAGACCCAATCCAACCCGATACTTTCTAGTTCTAGGTCTAGTGTTAATTCTAGTTTTAGTTCAATAAATATATACGACATAGTCATATCTTATGCTAACTAGCTTAGTTCTAGTGATAGTGCAAAACTAGAACTAACACTAGAATCTAGAATCAGAAACATTCGAATTTAGCCGCATTTCTCTCAAGACGGCTAAACCCGAATTATTCTAGACTATCACTAGACTAACACAAGGTTTAACAAGGTTTGTAAAACTAGAACTAACAGTAGACCTAGAAGTAGATACTTTGTAGTTCTAGGTCAAGCGTTAGTTCTAGTATTAGTTCAATAAAAATATGCATCATAATGATGTCTTATGCTAACTACGCTACTTACCACTGTCTCTAGAACTAACATTACACCTAAAAGTAGAAACATTCAGGTTTAGCCGTTTTAAGAGACGCACGGCTAAACGGAATGTTTTTAGTTCTATGTCTAGTGCTAGTGTTAGTCTAGTTTTGTTTGTTATTCGGCGTTAGATAATTGCATATTTTTATTGAGCTATAACGGACACTAATAGACTTTTTTTTAGGACTGTATGTAAACTTGCTTGAGTTAATGATATGATTATGTTTTGTGTTCCCCTTGATTAATAATAACTTATATAGTTTTTATGTAAAATAAGGAAATAAAATGGAGATCTTATATGTTTTGTTAAAAAATTTCATTGAAATACATTTCAGGAGCTGAGATATTATCATTTTCCGGGCTTTATGTAGACTTTATTGTATCACTGTAAATTTTTTGCAATGAATCAAAAACTTATAATTCATATTCAGATATTACTCAAATATAATCATATTCTAGATACAAAGTGGTATTCCCAAAAACATCAAAATTAAATGATTTCGTTTATAACGTTGTTCATACCTTTAAAACTAAAGATAATAGAGAAAAATGCTTTCTATATTAATTGTGTATAATGAACCATAACGAACCTATAACCAGATTCGAGTAAATTGTAATAATTTTTTAGTTATAAATTGTAAATGCCCCAAAATATTAACGTTAATAAAGTCGATAATGACCCGAATATTAAAAGAGAAGAAAGAAAGTGTTAATTCTTTGTAATGAGCCAAAAACTTATAATTCATAGCAAGATATTGTTCAGATATAACCATATTCTAGATAAAAAGTGGTAAGGCCCAAATTTGAAGCTTTGGGAATTAAATGTTTTTGTTTATAAAGTCGTTCATAATTTCAAAACTAAATGCCATAGCGAAAAATGTTTTCTACATTAATTGTTCAAAATGAATCAAAAACTTATAATTTATAATAAGATATTCTTCAGATATCACGTTGTTCCAGTTAGAAAGTGGTATTTCCGAAAACATTAAAATTAAATGATTTCGTTTATAATGTTCATAATTGCTAAACTAAAGGTGATATAGAAAACTATTTTCTACATTAATTGTTTATAATGAACCAAAAATCCATAAATAAACTCATCTGAATTATAACATTTTTTTTAGTTATAAAGTGTAAATCAACTGGCGCCGTAAAAGAAATGCTTTTATGATTTTTTAATGATTTTTCTCAGAATTAGCAAGATGTAAATCGGTCGCAAAGCTGTCTATAATTGAATAATCTTCTTCTTAGACAGATAATTACCAGAAAATATTTACCCAATATCGGTTAAAATATCATAAACAACTCAACCTGTAAATATGCCATGTTTTTATCAATATCTCAATCATCGGGTTAAAATAAAACTTCAAAGTGATAAATGATTTTTTTTTGTTCGTTAAATGATATTGAAAACTTATTCGAGCAATACAACTATGAATCAAATTGTTGATTTATTAGAGGTCTACTTTAAATAGTGAAATGTTGTGAAAAGTCGCTGAGAAGAAGATCTCATCAAATTATGATGTTTTCTTTTCATCATAACCGTTTATGTTGAATTCGGATACAAGTTCATAAAGTGCAACAAGCAGAGACCATTGCTTATCCACCAAAGTAAGACATGTCAATCGTGCAGAATAGTAGCAATAAAGCTTCATTATGGAGATGCAATTGTCGTACTCATGCAACAAGTCTGACGTTCCGTAACCATACAATTGTGATTTTGAAGACATATTCTTCAAATAAAGAAAGCAAACTAATCTCTCATATCAATAACTTCTTTTGGGGCAATTCTTTATGGAATTCCAAATCAATATTTCGGCAGATTACGTTTTTACTTTACTATGTTTCTGATCAGGAGACAAAATCTCTGCCAAAAAATACTGAGCACACAAAATCATAAAAGAGAGGCAACGAAATCTGACCTCTAAATGATGGCACGATAAAGTCACAATCTATTTACACCATCCTTTCATATATGACTCCACCAATTAATTTTGGGAAGTTTGAGAAGTGTGGCTTTAACCGATGAAGATCTTTTTAGTTTTTAAAGGAGCAATAAGCTGTGCGCTAGAAATATTTTCGAAGATTAACAGATTTTCAACTATCTTCTTTCTTGGACATACATCTTACATGCTATGCTATTCCGGTTGTTTCACTCAAAGGAGGTTACTTACTTAAAATGCTGATTATATTTTATTATAGTAACTAATCTGAGTAAAACTGATCGCATTTAGTCGATTTACTCAGCGTATCAGTAGCTTAATAAATGAATGATGATTTAGCATAATATACATTTTCAGGTTAATAGTAAAGAATAAGTTTTCATGTGACTTTCCAATATTTGTGGTAGGTAGAAATTTTGTGTTAGTGCATCATCTTAAAGATTAAAAGAATTTGTTCGTAATGCATCCATTTAAAGCGTACACTATGTACTTTTAAAAAACTATGAATATCTTCTTATTCTTCGTATTCATCACATCCGGTAATGCATTCTAATGGCTGGATGACTCAACATTGATAATTGACCGATCTCATTCTATGTAGACCAATATAACAGTCTCACCTGACCAGTTATTTATAATTTGTTCTGGAATGCTGATCTGGGTGAATTCCAAATGATTAAGACAAATGGTCTAA